TTCTAGCAAGGAGCCGTCGGAACCCTCAAGCGTAGCATGCGCAGATTTTGAGACAGTGACTTCGGATGCTTGCCCTGGTGAAGTCGTGCAGTTCCCATTGCTAAATTCTGTGTTGTCCGTTATGGGTAGTTCTTTAGCCGGAAACAGTGGTTGGGACGATGAGGGGAGCGTAGATTCTAACAGAAAGCCGTCGGAACCCTCCACTGTAGAACGCGTTGACTTTGAGACAGTGACTTCGGAAGCTTGCCATGGAGTAGACATGTACTTCCCTTTGCTAAATTCTGTACTTCCTGCCGTGGGTGATTCTTTAGTCGGGAAGAATGGCTGGAACGGTGATTGGGGCGTAGATTCTAGCAAGGAGCCGTCGGAACCCTGAAGCGTAGCATTCGCAGACTTTGAGACAGTGACTTCGGATGCTTGTCCTGGAGAAGTCGTGTACTTCCCATTGCTAAATTCTGTGCTGCCTGTCGTGGGTGATTCTTTAGTCGGGAAGAATGGTTGGAACGGTGAGTGGGGCGTAGGTTCTAACAGAAAGCCGTCGGAACCCTCCACTGTAGAACGCGTTGACTTTGAGACAGTGACTTCGGATGCTTGTCCTGGAGAAGTCGTGTACTTCCCATTGCTAAATTCTGTGCTGCCTGCCGTGGGTGATTCTTTAGTAGGGAAGAATGGTTGGAACGGTGATTGGGGCGTAGATTCTAGCAAGGAGCCGTCGGAACCCTGAAGCGTAGCATTCGCAGACTTTGAGACAGTGACTTCGGATGCTTGTCCTGGAGAAGTCGTGTACTTCCCATTGCTAAATTCTGTGCTGCCTGTCGTGGGTGATTCTTCAATCGGGAAGAATGGTTGGAACGGTGAGTGGGGCGTAGATTCTAGCAAGGAGCCGTCGGAACCCTCAAGCGTAGCATGCGCAGATTTTGAGACAGTGACTTCGGATGCTTGCCCTGGTGAAGTCGTGCACTTCCCATTGCTAAATTCTGTGTTGTCCGTTATGGGTAGTTCTTTATCCGGAAACAGTGGTTGGGACGATGAGGGGAGCGTAGATTCTAACAGAAAGCCGTCGGAACCCTCCACTGTAGAACGCGTTGACTTTGAGACAGTGACTTCGGATGCTTGTCCTGGAGAAGTCGTGTACTTCCCATTGCTAAATTCTGTGCTGCCTGTCGTGGGTGATTCTTTAGTCGGGAAGAATGGTTGGAACGGTGAGTGGGGCGTAGATTCTAACAGAGAGCCGTCGGAACCCTCCAGTGTAGAATGCGCTGACTTTGAGACAGTGACTTCGGATGCTTGTCCTGGAGAAGTCGTGTACTTCCCATTGCTAAATTCTGTGCTGCCTGTCGTGGGTGATTCTTTAGTCGGGAAGAATGGTTGGAACGGTGAGTGGGGCGTAGATTCTAACAGAGAGCCGTCGGAACCCTCCAGGGTAGAATGCGCTGACTCTGACACGGTGACTTCGGTAGTTCGCCATGGAGTATTCGTGTACTTCCCGTTGTTAAATTCCGTGCTACCTGTCGTTTTCAAAAACGACGACTGCTCCAACGAAAATGTTGTCGACACAGTAACTGCTGTATTTGGTGATGTGACCATAGAAGTTAGTGCAACCGGCTCTTCCGGTTGGTCTATTACCGAACTGGTTAAGTATTCGATCGTTGTGGAAGCAAACGGTTCAGACAAAATTGATTCCTGTACTCTTGTGGACATAGTTGAGGTTCCGCTCTCACCTGTAGTGGTTTTGGATGGTGAAGGAGAAACCCCTGATTGTTCAAATGGTGCTGTCAGCATAGCGGTGTCGGTAGTTTGAAAGTTGCTGCTGGATTCGTCATCAGTGGGAATTATCCAAGTAGTGACTGAAGTCGGTGTAGTGACTGGCAACAGATCAGGTAAGTGAGATGTGATCGCATTCGAAGTGGATACGGAGGGTGAGAAAGTGAATGAAACATGGGCTGAAGTATGATTGTGGAGTGAAGGTGTAAGAAACTGTGCAGGAGATGTGCTAATTGAGACCATCGCAG